TCATACATGAAAGATCAGCTCCTTATTCTCCAGAAATGAATGGTAAGGCTGAAAGGAAAAATAGAACCTTTACTGAGTTAGTAGTTGCTATTTCCTTAAATTCTGGTGCTGCTGATCATTGGTGGGGAGAAATTCTTCTCACTGTTTGTTATGTCTTGAACCGTATTCCAAAGACTAAGAGTAAGATTTCTCCTTATGAATTACTTCGTAACAAACAACCTAACATTTCTTATTTCAGAACTTGGGGTTGTCTGGCATATGTTAGGATTCCTGATCCTAAAAGAGTTAAGTTAGCTAGTAGAGCTTATGAATGTGTATTCATTGGCTATGCTGTTAATAGTAAAGCATATAGATTCTTTGATTTAAGTGCACGAGTAATTATTGAATCTAATGATGTTGATTTTTATGAGGACAGGTTTCCTTTTAAATCTAGAAATAGTGGGGGCTCGTCCTCCTCTATTATTCCTAAAGACAGGTCTAACTCACAAGACTTGGATGCTGAACCCGAACTAAGAAAGAGCAAGCGGGCTAGAGTAGCTAAAGACTTCGGCCCAGACTTTGTAGTTCTGAATGTAGAGGAGGATCCTTCTACCCTCCAAGAAGCTCTAACCTCAGTGGATGCAGATTTATGGCAAGAAGCCGTGAACGACGAAATGGACTCACTTGAGTCTAACCGAACTTGGCATCTAACTGAGTTGCCACCAGGCTGCAAGTCAATTGGTTGCAAATGGGTCCTAAAAAGAAAGCTGAAAGTTGATGGGACCATTGATAAGTTCAAAGCCCGTTTGGTAGCTAAAGGCTACAGACAAAGGGAGAATGTTGATTTCTTTGATACCTATTCACCTGTAACTAGAGTAACATCTATTAGAGTATTAATATCTCTTGCTTCTGTTTTTAATCTTGTAGTACATCAAATGGATGTGAAGACTGCATTCTTGAACGGTGAATTGGAAGAAGAAATCTACATGGATCAACCGGAAGGATTCATTGTTCAAGGAAAAGAGCATCTGGTATGTAAGCTAGATAAATCTCTTTATGGTCTCAAACAAGCACCTAAACAATGGCATGAAAAATTTGATAACTTAGTCATCTCACATGGTTTTAAGATAAATGGTAGTGACAAATGCATATATGTAAAATTTGAGAAGGACATATGCACTATAATTTGTCTATATGTGGATGACTTGTTAATTTTTGGCTCGAACATTCATGCTGTGAATGATGTAAAGCTATTGTTGAATGCTGAGTTTGATATGAAAGACCTAGGAGAGGCTAATGTAATCCTTGGAATTAAGATTACTAGGACAGAAAATGGAGTTTCTTTGGATCAATCTCATTACATTGAGAAGATCCTAAAGAAATATAGTTACTTTGACTGTAAACCTGCTAGTACACCTTATGATCCCAGTGTTAAATTATTTAAGAACACTGGTGATGCCGCAAGGCAATCTGATTATGCGAGCATCATTGGCAGCCTTCGGTATGCCACTGATTGTACTAGACCCGACATTGCCTATGTCGTGGGATTGTTAGGCAGGTTTACTAGTTGTCCTGGTAATGAGCATTGGCATGCTATTGAAAGGGTCATGAGATACCTTAAGAGGACCATGAACCTAGGGTTGCATTATGAAAGGTTTCCAGCTGTACTAGAAGGCTATAGTGATGCTGACTGGAACACTTTATCAGATGACTCTAAGGCTACTAGTGGATATATTTTTTCTATAGCCGGTGGAGCTGTATCTTGGAAGTCTAAGAAACAGACTATTTTGGCTCAGTCCACCATGGAGTCAGAAATGATAGCACTAGCTACGGCTAGTGAAGAAGCAGGTTGGTTAAGAGGCCTGCTAGGTGAAATTCCCCTATGGGAAAAGCCATTACCGGCTGTCTTGATCCATTGCGATAGTACCGCGGCTATTGCAAAAGTTCAGAACCGTTATTACAACGGTAAGAGACGACAAATACGTCGTAAGCACAGCACTGTGAGAGAATATCTCTCTATCGGAGCTGTTAGAGTGGATCACGTACGCACTGAGAATAACTTGGCTGATCCTTTGACGAAAGGATTAGCTAGGGAGAAAGTCCATTTTTCCTCTAAGAAAATGGGACTATTGCCATTGAAATGAACCACACATAATGGTAACCCAACCTATGAACTGGAGATCCCAAGAAATAGGTTCAAAGGGTAATAACAAGTTATGGTGTGTTATGAGTTGAATATGTTCAAAAGACATAATTTCCTGAAGCGATCAAGGATGAGTTAATAGGAACTCTTAATGAAATCTATACTCCAATTTGGAGTGGAGTACCAAGCTACAGGAGTACTCTTGATAGATTCACCTATGTGAATGTGGAAGTTAGGCCGCTTCCTATGAAATGTGTGGCAGCATTTCTAGAGCATTCACTACACTGGGATAGACGTGCATGGCCGAAATAGCACGGGTCTAGAACAACACCAAGAGTAGGTTGTGTGTGGTACGTTGTCAGAGATAGGGTTCAAAACTTCGAGTCACCCTTGTTGAATCTGAATCGTACTCACTACGTCAAAGTTCAAGTTGAAAAACACTTCTGTTTATGCGCAACCTATATATGTATGGATTCTGCTCAAAAATGTTTTCAAAAAATTCAAGTGGGGGATTGTTGGAACAACAAGTGTGTAGTGTGTGAATTTTGTGAAAAAACTCAAAGTCCCACATTGGTGGGAAATGAGAGTTTTACTCTCTTTATAATATAGAGAGTGGGCTAAAGGGGTGTGGCCCTTGGGCTACCCACATTTTGTGGAGAGGGAGGACCTATATGGTAAACCATCTATCACACACACGCGCGCCGAACCGAACCGAGCCGAGCCGGGCCGGGCCGGGCCGGGTTGGGTTGGGTTGGGTCGGGTCGGGTTTATTAAATAAACTTATTTTTTGGACAAGGCTAATTGCGTGATTAGTTCCTTGATTTTTGCTAAACGTTTTTTGACTGATTACATTTGACCGTTTTTTCAAAACTGATTAATGGAGCGTTAATCATGCAAACGTTTTCACTGATTTTTTGCTAAACGTTTTGCCACGCATTAATCTTATGTAACCGTTTTGAACGTTCAACTTATGACCGTTTTAATTGCGTGATTAGTGCCTAATTAAACGGCAGCAGTTACGTTGCAATTTTTCCTATAAAAGGCGTGTTGATTTCCTGTTTTTGAGACACAACAATATACAGAAAGCAATCTTCTTCTCCTCTCTATTTTTCCTCACAAAAACAAAAACCCTCGAGCAGTTTCTTTTCTTTTTTGGTGTTTAGTTGCCCGGTGGTTTTGTGCAGTTCCACCGGTATAATTACAATAGAGGAAGGCTGTTTTATCCTGGGGAACATCCGGTTGTTGTACGAGCTGCTTGCACAAATTAAAGGGCAGTACCGTGAATGTTCTAAAGAGAGCGACATAGTCCGCGACTCAGTCTATTTCCCGGTAACTTTGTTCTGTTTTTATTGTTTACAGCAGTTCGGTTTATAACAATATGTATACCATACCACTGAGTGTTCATGAAAACTCTCTGTTTTGATTTATATAACATCGAATTTGAACGAGAGGTTTAGCACCACATCATGACATACAAGTGTACACATCGATAATAAACTACCATGAAGAAGTTGGAACTCACTCTCCCTAGCTAATATTGTTAAACAAGGAATGTGCTTTGAAATAATTATACATCAAATCTTTTTGAAGTGATCTATAAATTGAACTTTTTTTTATTTTTTTTTATTTTTAATGATTTACTCGTAATAGATAGTCAAATGACAATAATATGTTAGCTTAAATTAATCTAAAGTCACAAACAATCCATCTCTAGCAAGACATTATAAATATCCATATTAAATAATATATCTTATAATCAATAGAACCATAAACATTTCCATAAGTTATATTGGTAATTGTATCATATTTGTAGGACAGTATGAGATTTGAATTAATTATTGTAGCAAAAATTTTGTGTTAAATCTATAATTTTTTGTGTTTGATATTGAGTTTGTATAATTTTCGAATAATTTATACTTTACTGTTAATTGCAAATCTATTTGACTGTAATTGGATTTTTTGTTTATTTTAAAACAGTAATTGCTTTACTATTAATTACAAATCTACAATTCAAAAATGCAAAACCCCTAAACTTTTAACCAAAATTTTTCTTGGCATACATATTTGTCCATGTAAGCAAGAAAGTCCCTAAACTATAGCCTAGTGAGCAAGGGAAAAAGGAAGACACTAAACTTTGCCTATTCAACAAAGAAGTCCATAAACTTTGTTGACTAAAGAAATTTCAAGTTTCTCAACTTGAGAAACACCCACTATTTGGGGTCAATCATGCCCTTAATTTAAAATATTTTTCTTAGGGTTTTTCATTAAATTTGGAAATGGTAGTGTTGGAGATTGTTGTGGTGTTGGGCATAGTGTTCGTTGTGGTTGTTTGAGTTCGTCTGCCATTGATAATGAGAATGGAAGAAGAGAGGTTGAAGGAAATGGAGGTTGATGATTAGTGCGTGTTAAAACATTAAAACAAAAAACGTTGCTCAGAATCATAACATTACCATTTGAGATACGAAATTCAATATTAAGCAGCCTGTGTGATTCACTCTTGATAAAAAGTAAATGTTGCCGGGATTGCTTAGACATTGACTCATTAGTGGTAGCCTAGTAGGTAGGTAGAGTGGAGGTGATTAACATTGGTCTGGCCCGAAAATAAGACGGGTTTGTGCAAGCATAAAAACACATTTTAGTTTAAAACCCAATCCGATCCGGAAAAGCCCGAAAGCCCGTTTTGGCCCGGCATGCCCACTACTTTTTACGGGTTTGGGCAAGAGGAATAATGGTAAGGCCCGGCCCGACCCGATTTTTGATCACCTCTAAGTTAGAGGGACTAAAATGCAACACTTAAAAAAGTTGAGGGACTAAATGGAAACAACTCCCAAAAAAAAAAAAAAAAAAAAAAAAAAGAAGAAGAATAAGGAGGACATAAAAAGCAAAGACGGCTGGGAAATCCGGGAATAAATCAGCGGCATCAAGTCTAAAAAGCAGAGGAGGAGGAGGATTGGATCTCCTAAGCAGAGCAGAGGAATTGTAAGGGGTAAAATTCCTGAATTTCTCTCTTTTCTTTTTGTTTAGTGTCTGTAATTGGGTTAAATTGTTGCAGGTTCTCTGACTTTCCTCCTAATCGCCTTCGTTGCTGCTGATACAATGACTCATATCCTTGTTTTATTGATTTAGTTCTGTTTTACTACGTATTAAATTAATAATTGTATGAATGGGATTTGTATTTCTGTGTTTCCTTAATAAATTAGATTGAACGAGGTAACCAGCGAGAAAAAGATCGTGAAAGAGCTCAGTCTCGCGGCGGCGCCAAGAAGGGTGGCAAGAATGATGGCCTCACCCCCGAGCAACGCCGCGAAAGGTTTCTTCTTTTTTATTTATTTATATATTTATTTTTAAATTCATATTTTAATTTAGGGTGTTCATTTAGGGATGCAAAGGCGCTACAAGAGAAGACGGCCAAGAAGGCCTCCGGTGCCGGCCAAACTAGTGGTGGAGGTACCACCACCAACAAATAACGCCCTCTTATAATCCCTTATTACTACTCTTTATTATAACAATAAATTCATACTCTATATGTCATGCTGTTTTTTGAATCAAGGATTCTCAGTTAAGTTTGTTCTCTCGTGTCCGTGCATTTCGAATAACGATTCCTCGTGTGTACTGTTATCTTTTAATTGCTACTTCTACTGTATTCACACTCTATTATAAAAGTGGGGTTTTGAAGAATGGTTTAATTGCTATTTCCATTACAGTTGGGTGATTTGAACGATGGTTTAATTTTCAATACAAAAGGGGGACTGGATGAATGGTTGAATTGCTTTTACCATTACAAAAGGGGTTTGAAGAATGGTTTTCAATTACTGAATCCTCTTGTTAACATCATAATAACCACATATATTACTGTTTACTTTCATTTCTTCAATTGTAGGAAACCTCTCATCAACTTCCTTTTTTGACTCTTTATTAGGTTCTCCAATGATTTTTTAGTTTTCCCTTCTAGAGAAATTCTATTATTTTTTCGATGCAATAATTCTTGAGTGAAGCAGATGAATTATATTTACGGCAACTATGGGTGTAAGTGTCATCAATAAACTTCATATTACAGATAAGTTTTGGGCTCTTTCAAAATTTTATCGGAAAGGGAATAGCTTTTATGTCTGAGGCTCTGAACAATTCTATGTCTGCCAATCTGTTTCTTTCTCACAATTTAACGTTTCACCTCCAATTTGTAATGTTCATGATAGATTTCTTGGTGCATTCCAAATTTTAAGTATTTTAAGGCCATGTTTATTCAAGTAGATAGGTACAGCAGTGGTGTTGATATTAAAGAGATTATATTGTGTATTTGTATTATAGGAAAGGTGGAGGTGACATTTATATGTATGAGCTTGGCTTTTTCATTCCTCTCGGTCCTTAAAGAGGTGATGTTTGTCCATAAAGACGCTGACTTTCTAGCTTGTCTAATATGATGCAGTAGACTAGGATGAGAGCTCATAGTCATCTCATGATAAGAAATTCGTGGTGTGGTTTACACTTCACACCAAGCTATTTGCTTTTACATCAGGGGAATCTTATTCGGCATGTTTTAGCTTATCAGAAATCATCATCTCCCTTGGGAGATTTTTATGTGGGTACAATGTTACTAATGGGGTATTTGGTTCAAGCTTTTATATAGGAATGGAATGGATCATGGATGTGATAATATTAATGATGAAAAATTTGTTTGGTGGGACACATTTAGATATGGAATGTCATACCCAAGGGTTTGTCATCCCCCTCTAATCCCCTAGCTTCATTCTTATACCCATCACCCCCCCCCCTAAAGATTGAGATTCCATACTTCCCTCTTTCATTAATAGTATCGAACTCCATCTTTCTTGAGCGAACCAAACAGCTTTAAAAAATAAATGAATTTTCAATCATTTATGTGAGGAGTCTTTTCCTGAAATTCTGAAAGACACCTGTTTGGTTATGTGAGTTTGAGTATTCCGTGTTTCTTTTCTTCATTTCCTTACTTTCTTCTCTCCCATCCTTTTGTCCCATCCACCTCCTATTGCTGATGTAACCTCAACCCCCATTGTAATTTTTTTTTCCAAAAGTTTTCCCGCCAGATTATTATTGTTTTCATTACTCATGGACTTCATTTCAAAGGCATTCAAAGTGAGGCTTACTTTATTGATGTATATCTGTGACTGTCGTGCTTCTCTTTAGCAGCCTTTATCGTGCCTGGCTACTGCTGAGTTTAAAAGTGCTTTCAATCTACAGTGGGGCTTTTGGCTGCTGATTTGTGTGATAGTGCTGTTGCATGAAGCTGTTAGGTATTCTCTTTTTTGTTGACTACTATTATTTTAGGTGGACGCCATAGAAACTATGAGACTTGGTTGTAAGGTTTGGAGCAAAGGAGCAAAATTGTTTTCTTTGCTTTGCTTTCTTCTCACAAAGTTCCAATTCTGTAGTAGAGAAGGGGCATGTATGTATACCTTTTCTTTTTCTTTTCTTTGATTTTGATATTTCAATTTGAAACCGTTTTGAGAAACTGAGAGGTACTATTGCATGGGAAGATGAGTAGTGGTTTGTTGGGATAGGTTTGGCTCCATTTCTTCCACAGCAATCTTATCTAACTATTTAAAATATATTTCAATAGCATTATTAGTTAGCAATCTTAGCGTATAGTTTCTCTTGTAAAAATCCCTATTGATGCACCAAATAGTTGCATCTTGCTAATTAACTTTGCTAGGGAATTGCAAAACTAGGCTGTAATGCAGAGCCATATGGTCTTAGCTCCTTGCACTTACTCTTGCTGCCTTTCCTTGGTGGAGAAGGGGGAGTCAAGTGTTTTTAAATATTTTACCACTTGTGGTGGAGCTATTGGATTGCTTGCTTAAACTGTGGTACAGAAGGAATGGGGGACCCACATAAGCAGACTCAATTTAGCTATCAACTGATGCATACCCAAGAGAAGCAGCAAAGGTTCATGATCACTAAATATCGTGCTCTGCAAAAGCTGAACTGTAGCCAAGCAACCAGATAGTACTGCTGGGTATGTAAATGGGATGTAAACCTTTATCTGGACAAAAAAAGCTGCTGGCTCTTGTGATTCTGAAAGTTGGACCTATCTGATGGCGTGTTGCCTTGCAGTTCCAATGGATAAGATTTTAGGTTGAGTGAAATTTTATGCCCTAAAATTCAGTGAGTCCTTAATTCTGGGTCATCGGTATCAGTTGAACCCTTTGAAGGGGCCAGTGATAGAATCTGGATATGCAGAAGTAACAAAAATGAAGGAGTGGGATGTCATGAGCCCTGTGGAGTTGGTCATATATTTCTTCAAGTACAAAGGAGTGCTGATAGGGTATAAATTTGCCCTTAAAATATGTACAGTAGTGTACAAGGTTTTTTTTTCTTTGTGTGTGTGTGTGCGATCGTGTGGTTAGTAAAGGTGGATGGTTAGAGTCTTAGAGATTGTCAGATTTGGTGTTGTATTAAAGAAGTTGATCATGAGAAATTCTAGGTATGTAATGAAGTGAAACTCTAGGGAAGAATGTTTCTCACTCAGTCACTCTGCCTGAAAAGTCTAGGTATGCTTAATCCGCAAGGAGTTTATACTTTATAGCATCATGGTGCAGAAGCTTGAGATAAGATAGAAAATTCTGTAGAGAATTTCTCTTGAATTTTTTTTATGCCTTTTTCCCGGTGCTTCATCAAAGAGGTAGCGAAGTTCAAGGATAAACCACTTACTATTCTGAGCTTTGAGAAGAATTTAGAGAATTGTGAAGAATTCTTGCCAAAGTTGCTTCTATTCATTTGATACCAATACTAGTTCTTCTACAATAAAAACCTTTTTGTATACTTGTCCCCCTTTTCTTCACCTCACACTTTGTTTGTATTTAGCAATCATGGGACTATTTTGTTTGTGTCTAATGTTATGATTGAAGTCAACTGAGAATCCAAAGGGAGAAATGTAATCTATTAAACAATTAATTGGTTTGCATAATGACATTTTATATAAAGAAAAATAACTTGAAACATCATATAACGTGTGGAACGCATAGAATTAATTACTCCCTCGATATTTTAGTTCTACGCACTTCCCTACCTTTTTAAAAGTATGAGTAAACTTTTATGAATAGTGTTGTGACGATTATGCCCTTAAAAATGTTTGTTTACCTATTTACCTCTTTTAAAAGTATGACCACACTTTTATGAATAGTGTTGAGACGATTATGTCCCTAAAATGTTTATTCACATATTTTCCCTCATTAATGTTAACTGTTTTTATTTTTTTATTTTTTAACTCTTAACATTTATATCCCTAAAAATATTTGCTTACATATTTTGCTTATTGAACTCTACTAACAACTAAAGTTATACCTTAACGCCTAACCTAAAAAACTTCCCAAAATGGCTAGCTATGACGCGTGCATCGCGCGCTTTAGCCACCTTAGTAATTTAGAAAACTTTGACCAAATTTAGATAATAAATATGAAAGAAGTCATGTGAAATGAGATTTTTTTTATATGTAGTAGTGTGTATCAATATCAACTTTTCATTACATTTTCTATTACATGGCAATATTTTAGAAGGTGAAAACTGTGCATTGGAGACTGTAGACTTTCATTAGTATTGTATTTGGGTATAGAGAAAGGAAGGAAAAGAAGGGGAGGGAGGGGAAGGGGAGGGGAGGGAAGGGAAGATTGATGAGTTTTCTTTTCAATTATGATCAATTTCTTACAATTTAATCCCTCTATTTCTCTCCCCTTCAGGTTCCAGTTCATATGTATCATCTTTCATTTATTCCCTGACATTAGCTTATATTCATCACCTCTGCAAGTATTTTAGAAAGATGCACCTCTTTAGATTTCATATTTCTTAGCAAACTGTAGCCTTGAAAACTTAATAGGTGAATGGATTTAGCTTATACTGTTAGTTTCACTCGAATATATTAGTTGTTAATTCATTTTATCTGCAATAAGTCAATGAAATTAATTAAGCAACTGTCTAATAATTGGTTACTAGTCAGGACTAGTGGAGTTTGGTGTTTTTGCTGCTTAATATATTGTAGGTAGGAAGGACTTGTTTGTCACTTTGGAGGCGTGATGTGTGTAAACAATGTTATCCTGTTAAAGCACATGGTTTGGGAAAATAAATATGGCCACTAAACATAAACTACTTAGTTAGCTGTTGTTGTAAAGTTCAGGAGCAGCTTGACGAAAGGGAAAGGAATTTATATTTATACCAATACTTATGCCTATGCTTTAAGGTTGCTGCATATATTTGTCCTTGTTCATGTCCACTGTCACGTTGTTAAGGGACAGTTATGATCTGTTTGACATAAGGAATTTTGCTATATGTCTGGAGCTGCTTAGGCTGTTCTTTTCCATAACATCTAATTTCGAGTTTCAAGTTCCTGAATTATCTCTGCTAATCTCTATTTCCATTCTAGTAAATATTTCTGTATTCCTTTTTCTGTGAATTTCAGGAGAGTTATCTGTAATGACTATTGTGGGTCTTTTTGGCAAGTTGAAGTCAAACATATATACAAGTAGTTGGTGTGTGTGTGTTTTTACCTTGGGGGCAGAATTGTTATTAAATCTTAGTTATTAGCATGATATAGTCAGATTGGTAAGGCATAAATAATTAATGTGAGGGTAAGATTTGTGATGATGGTCAGTATCTTGTAATTCTTGTCTTTTGGAGTTCGGAGATAACAAATTTGGATCGATAATTGCAGTTAATACTTGGTTATAGTAAC